GTGTATGCAAAATAGCAATGGCATTTAGCCCACTCCACACATCTTCAATTTGCACGTTTGTAAGAATTGCACTATGCTTTTACTTATTAGTAGGTAGAGCAGTTGATTAATTTTACCGCAGCTCTACGCAATGCGACATTGGAAATGGCTGCATCTGCACTACGTGTAGTGCAAATAATTGTGCGTTTGGTGGAGTTACGTGGACCACTGCACCCCAACCCCAACTACTCTGTGAGCGTACGTGTAATTTGCATCTAACTCACCGCCGCAGTGGTCCACGTAATTTCACGAAGCGAAGTGGCAAACAGCACAAACTGAAATAATGCACGAAAAAAAAAACAAAAATTACACTCTACATTGAAAATAATACACTAACACTCCAATAAACACTTTAGTTTTACCAGAATAAGAACCTTACGACATAACATAACAAAAATGCGCCACAACAATTCAAGTAACATGCAAAATTATATTTACCACACATGCCGACACTTCTATATCAGTAACTAAAAACAGCCGTCCTTACATCCATCCGAACCGTAAACATCTGTTGGAGTCATACACTGCTTCCTAAACACTACTAAAAACATAGCAAACGACAAATTATACAATCCAAAAACGTCTAAATTAGCACTAACCCTCACACATACCAGAACCAGGCAAAATTGAAGCATAAACCTCAGGATGACCAACAAAATCAGCACATATGTTGAAACAAGACAGGATCACAACCACCCAATGGATCAAAAAAGTAAAACAAAACGTACAATTGAACAAAAGTATCGTGATAGCCGCTGCCAAAACAGGAAGCGCCACCAACAATGAAATTGACGCCAACAAATACGACCGAAGAATTAGTGAATTAAGGGGAAATATTTTAGTCATACAAAACCTTGCAAGAAATGCAAATGAATTTTGTCAAACTAAAAGCTTTATAAACACCAGCAAAATAAAGTGGAAACATCAGGAAGTTAATGCCACACCTCCTAATAAATATAAAGAAGACATGGGAGGATAAAGCGTTCAGCCAACACCAGCACCTAAACACATACTAATTGACAACAAAACCAACGAAGCAATCAACAGTCACGCACTTAAAGCATTTAAACAAGGCAAATGAAAATCAGACAAACCACCTAATGGAGGCGACAGATAAGTATCAAAACCACTGCATTTCAAATCACAAAATCACCACATTTGCCTCTTTGAGGGTAGAGGATGAGGTGGGGAAAGATGCTGGTGAGGTATTTTGCATTCAGTTAAAGTCAACATGGAGATGTCACTTCAGTGATTTAAGTAATGTGCAATTACATGTCGAAGTTGAGTTTGATGTGCAAGGTGCCTTCCAAACCACATGTGGTGCTTCGATGAAGGCAAAGTGTGCTTGTGTTTGGAAGGCAATCGCTCTTCCCACAACCCGAAGGTCACTCTGCCACGCCTCTGCCTCCTGTTTTTCATCGTGTCGGCCTGATGGTCTAATGGATGCAACCAAAGAGTAAATGTTCCTCTACTTTAAATAGTTGAGGTGAATTGTCAAGAGATGCAGAGCTTGAGCTGAGAATGCTTGCAGTAAATAAATGGCGAGAAGGCATGTTTGAGCACGACACGTGTGGGTGGTGTGTGAGAAGAGCAGAAGTGATGGCTACTGTTGAGCAGGCACAAGAAGACGTGGAAACATTCAAAGTGATTAGGCAATTTCCAAATTAACTTTTTCGAACCATGGTGTTTTCCTCTGATGCAATGAACTTTGTACGGAATTCGAGGGAAAGCAGTAGTGCTACGCAGCATTTTTCAAGGAATGCAGGTTGTTGCGTTGGTTGAGGTAAAATGGCCAGATGTAGCAGAGAGCAGCACTGACGTTCACTGCTTCCCTTATTGTCAGCGATTGCTACAGTTTATGGTAGCTAAGGCATCAAAACATTTGCTACAAACAAAATGTTGCCTAATAAAATTAAGTAAATATTTCGGTATCTTTTCACTTATATGACTTTTAGGACATCAAAGCAAAAGACGGATGCAAACTGAAGTGTTGCATAAACAAAAGGTAGTACAGAACTTCACTTGAAAGATGGTGCATTGTGGAGAGTGGATTTGCGAGAACTTGGTCAATGGCGTGTTGGTTTACACCCTCGGCACTTGCGCCATCATTATAGGGCTGATAATGACACCTCCCAGTTTTGTACCTTTTTTTAGCCTGCTTTGAATTGACGGCAGTGCGGAAGCCGCTCTATCTACTTTGTCTCGATGTTTTGATGAGGGAAGCTGCTCCCTAGGTGAGAAACTAACAGACATATTTCCACACATCCCGATTAGTAAGGGCAGAGAAATATGACTTGCTGAATCCATGCTGAGGTTCTTTTGTTAGATTGTCTGACACTTTGTTAGAAGCACTCACCGTTAAGCATAATTCAGTTCTTGAGGAAGGTGTGAATCGGGAGAACGAAGTTGGATATTTCCATGCAAGTCAGGAGAGGTGGGCGGACTGAGGTGAAGTTAGAAATGTCGATGCTGGTGCCAGAGGACGCACTGTCTAAGCATAGATGGAAAATCCCCACAACCGACTTCTGGATGAACATTATACTCCGCGATGCCAGTAAAACAGTGGAAAGCAGATTTCATGGTTATGTAGGAGCCCGTAGCTGAAACAACCCACGTACGTATGAATGGGGTAGGGACCCCATATAAGTTTATTATTAATAGCATTACTGCCTCTGCGTGTTGGTATTGGTTAAACAAAAGCAATCGTTTCACATGGTAATGATGTTACTAGCGTAAGTAATTATGCTTCTTTTTCCAAGAGAGCATCTAGTTTCAGTTGTTGTAAGGATGTCTGTGGTTATTTCATTTTTGTTAAAGAGTAGTTGTATGTTTTGGTGCTGTTTTATGTATTATCGTCTATAATAGTTTTTGTTTATGGTAGTTTATGCGGTGGAATTCATCACCAGTCAGCCTTCTGATTGTTTGCTTCGAGTGCGGCTGTTATATTTTGCAGTTTTTGACTTGTTTTCTATTTTCTGATTGTTGGTAGTCTAGTAATTTATCTACTTATTTGGGGATACCTTTTGTTGGGTGTTTCCTATTATTGGGTTTGCGAATCACTATGATGGGGTTTCATCATTTGTTCGGTTGGAAGTGTTGTACCCTCTTTTTGGTTGTAACAATAGTTTTGGTTTTGAGGTTTGCGGTGTTGCAGATTTTTTGAGATAGAAGAAGTTGTATAGAATATTTTTGAGAGTAATTTTTTGATTTTAAGTGGATTTTGTACCATCGGTTTTCATTTTACGTGTGTCTGCTTTGATAACGTTGTTTTGGCTTAGTAGAGAGAGGTTTAGTGTTTACCGCTGTGCCGTCTTAACTTGATGTTGGCATTTTGTGCATTATACTCTTGTTTCTGTGTGTTTATATTACCAATAGGTTTATTAAAACTGATAGATTGTGATTCCGTTGAACACTGGTTCACATTGTATTAATTAATGAAGGTTGGGTTATTTCGGTGTACTTCGATGCATTTACCAATTGGGTAAGCTCTAGAATATTACTGAAGTAGAAGGTTGGACTCTCTATGTCCATGATGATTCAGGTTGTAGCTGGTGTTGTGCCATCCCATAGTGTGTTGCAGATTACATGTCTGGGTTTTTCATGGTGTGGGCATTGTGTGGTTTTTCTGAACGGTATCTTTTGTTCAAGTTGGCTGGTGAGTGTTTTAAAGCTAGTGTGTTGCAGTGTTGGTTTAAGTAGGAGTGCAGTGCGGTGCATGAGAAATTATAGTTTTACACACGCGAGAACTCATGTGAGCTTCACTAGACTTGAGCATTTTATTGTATGAAAGGTATTGTGTTTGCTTCCTGAAGATGGGTGATCATCCTCCTGTTGGTGATTTGGCCTGTCAGGGGTGATTGTGTTGATCATGCTGCTTTGGATGATTGTGTTTGGTATGATGCCTGATGTTGTGGGGCTGCTTGTGAGTTTCTTTATTAGTGCTTCTTATGTTCCAGGTGTGTGCAGGGTTTTGGGTTGTTCACAGTCTCGGAATGGGCCTTTTGGGGTCGGTATTGTGGGTCTACTTCGATTGCTTGCTGATTTGTTAAAGTTGATAAAAAAGTTTAATTGTATCTTTAGGAGGAGTAGCTGTATTGCCTTATTAGGCTTTTTCATTGGCAATTTTGCTTGTGATTTACTCGTTTATTTATTTACAGTAGACATTTTGGTGCTAGTTATGATGGACTTTCTAGGTATTCTGCGTTGTGTGCGTTATGATTATTTTGTGAAAATTTACATGAAATCTGTTTATGTGTTATAATTTTGGGTCCTTTTGTTGTGGTTATTTAAGTGGTCTGCGTAGATTATGTAAATCGTGATGCCGTTAGCTTTAGGAAGTGGCTAATTGTTACCATCATAGTCCTTTCAAATCTTAGCTTAGTGGTAGAATATGGGTTTTGGGGACCTTCCGCCCGGTAGGGAAGTTTGATTAACGGGGCTGCGTAGCAGGTTACGTCGATATAGTAGACGGTGAATTGAATGTTCAGCTAATATTTAGATTTATATAGCTAAAAGTCAAGAGCTGAGTTCTTACCTCAGTAATGCAAGTTTCACGGTGAGATTATTTTGTTGTGTTTATTGTTTTCTTTGTCTTTTGTGTTGTGCGTTGTGATGCATGTTTTGGGTCTGATTTGCTAAAGAGGTTGTTGTTGTTGTTGTCAATCTGCAGTTAGGTAGGTCTTATGAGTGCGGCTTTTTTCTGTTCAGGGGTTAATGTTTGCTAAATTTTGGTAATATTAGTTCCTATACTGGTAGTGTGTTTCCCTTTTATTGTTAAGGCACTTAGAGATCATGTATTTTGAGTTTATAGGGGAAATTGAGAAGCTGTTGCTAATGGTTTTGCGTCAATTTGGTTTGACTTTCTCTTGGTAAAGAAGATTAAGTCAGTTGAACTGTATGTTTTCAGAACATTCAGAGACGAGTGTAGGTGTTACCTCATGGTTATGAGAATGAAAGGTTACGTTGGTTGGATGTTGGCTTTAGATCATAAGCGGCTTGGTGCAATCAATGGTTTGTTGGGTGTGTGATCTGGTTTGTAGGTTTGAGGCTTCGTGTGTTGATTTGTGTGAAATTTTTATAACCTCATTATAATGCGATGCGCCTAGATTTGTACAATTTTTTGGTTACGAATCATGGAAAATTCATGTTTTTTTCCTTTTTACTACTCACTTGGAAAGGTAGTTTTGGTAATTATCTGTTGCTTTTATTAAGTGGTTTGTCTGATTTGAATTTGCCTCGTTTAAATACTTTAAGTGCGTGACTGTTGATTCCTTCGTTGATTTTGTTGTCAATTCGTGTGTGTTTAGGTGCTGGTGTTCGTTGAACGTTTTCGAGGGGATGTGGCGTCAACTTTTTGATTTTCTCACTTTTTTTGGCCGATGCTTCTAAAATTCAGGTTTTATAAAAGTTATTGGCATTTCATATAGTTTTTGTGACCACAATATTTTTTCGTACTTCAGTAATTCTTCGGTGGCATTTGTTGACGTCAATTTAAATGTTGGTGGCACTTTCTGTTTCGCAGCAGCTATCACGATGCTTTTGTTTGATTGTACATTTTGTTCTGCTTTTTTGATCCGTTGGGTGGTTGGGATTCTGTTTTGTTTCAACATATGTTTTGGTTTTTTTTTCATTTTAACAGCTCATGTTCCCGATCTCCCCTAAGGTGGATGGTGCTGCAATAAGTACACAGCTGAATATCATGTCTTCTCACGCCTTCCTGCCCATCTCCATGTCTATCTATTTTCGCAAACCCCAAACTCCCGTATCTTCATCTTCATACATCCACCGTTTATTTATCACTCACTTCCTCCTCTGCATGTCAACGTACTCATTTGCAAGGACCTTATTTTCTAAAAATGACACATCTCTTATACTTCCTTTAAATTCTTCTTATTTCAATGGCTTCACAGCTATATTCTTCATTGGTTGATCAAATAATTTAAAGTAGCGATTCAGTGTGGGTCAGATAGCAAGGCATTACAAATGGGTTCAGGTAATGAGTCTATAAGTGGAAAATACGCACACAAATAAATGTGTGAAGTGTGAATTTGTCGCCCAGGTCTTTGCTGCCGGAGTGAGAGGACATGACACTCGGGCAGAATGTGTGTATTGTGTTAGGACATTTGGGTGGACTGCCCCCTATCTCCCTTAACAGCAGAGGCATTGCATTATACCACGATGTAAGGAAAGCCATTGCACTTTCTATTTGTTAATTTGGGATTAGCTGCCTTTCTTCCCAACCTCCTCTTGACAAAATTGCATGCTGATGATTCCTCCCACCAACTTGCCACGTACTATTGCTTGGTATTGCAAGAGCAGAATGTCATCTCCACGTGCACAAACTTACTCACTGAGACCTGAATGGTGTATCCAAATGCTGTGTTAATGTGTGAAGTTTTGTTTACTCTGCCACATTTGAGGTGAAGTTCTTGCTAGACAAAGGCTCTGTTAACTCAGTAAACTGCGTAGTGAATGAGAATGGCGCTTTATTTCATGCAATCACTCGACTTCCACTAATGCATGATACACCACAGCAGTGGGTGAAATGTGTTTGATTAAGAGGCATGAATGGGGTGCGGGTACAGTGGCACAATGCTGCACACTCACCACTGCACAGCTATTGGAATGGAGATGGGTGGAATTGGAAGGAGACGGATGGGGTGAATGGAAATGGAGGCGAGATTGGGTGATGGATTGCATGTGGGATGCTTTAGACAGACGTAGCGATGAGGGCTTGCAGTTGGTTTTCAATCGTGTCTTGCATTTCGCTTATAATCCTACTTTTAAAAGCTGTAGCTGATATGGGAATACCAAACACGTAGACGTATACATCAGTGAACACCGGTTCTGACAATTCCAATTTGACTGCACGAGGCACGGTCGTTTTCACGTACAAGGTTGCTTCCAACTTCACTTTCCCCAATCGCACTTTCTTTACGGTCTAAAACATAAAAGTTGCTGGTTAGTGTGACAAATTGCAAGATTCCATAGCGCACAATACCTTGAGGCGCAGTGTACACGGAGGAGGGAGGCATGTTTGTTACCTTTGAGGGAAAACTAATGCTTGAGTTGTTTAGGTGACGAATCTCCCCTGAAGTGCGCATTCAAATGTGCGACTGCATGGATTTGTGGCACAATGCTCTCAACTGGGATTAGGGTATGGGGAGTAAGGGTGTAAGGGAGGGAAGAGAGGTAATTTTGGTGATGTGTACATAACACGCAGAGGACTTACTTTAATGGGAGGAGTCGTCGTCAACTCAGTCACATTGAAGCAAATGCCGAGCTTGTAATTTGCTCCTCCACTCGGCACGGTCCTAATGAAAGTAAAGGGGCAAGAGCGGGCAAGACTGCCAAGTGATTGTACATGATATTTGGCGCCATATTTTGTCAGGTAGCTGACAAAATCCTGTATGATTAAATCAATGACTGAATCGACGGAAACGCCTGTGAAGTTTGCATCAGGAAGAGAGCTTGTTAGACTCACAAGAAGCCAGAATGGAGATGGGCATGAGTGCCAGCAGAAGCAGTATACCACTGAAGTGATGCGTCTGCATGTCAACGAAGCGGAGTTGTCCCTTGATGCAGAAGTGGAAGGTTTTCGTTGGGGTTGTCGGTGAGACTGACTGTTGGGTGGTATTTAGATGGAGAAGGGTCGAGTCTTCGCCAATGAGCACACTTCACATTTCCCCGTGCTGCACCCAAAGGGCGTGACTTGCAGGTCAAAGCTGGTTGCACCACGCTTGTGCACCTCAGCAAATAAGATGTGCAAATTACCAACCCTTCTAAAGCGCTTTACCTAACAATAGGGTGTGTGTTTCTTGTGCCAAAGTGGCAGGTTTCTCAAGACTTGGTGTATGAGAAGTGTAAACTCTTGATAGGGAATATCACTTAGAGTGAAAGGCATCACATTCATTGCCCTAAACTGCTGAGCACCAAAGATCGGCTGACTGTGGCTATATAAATAAAGTAGCTTGAATCACAAGTGCTATAGACATTCGTGAATACCTACTTGGGGCAAGAGATGGGTGCATGAATCAAGCCTAGAACTCATTTTCGAGACCAGTGGCGCAGCTCACCATCAATGTGATAATGGAGTATGCGCAGTCGCCTTCTAGACAATCGAACAAAACGCCTTCGTCTTGCAACCTTTGTCGACAGATGGATTATGTGCAAGTGCACCACCATGTATGGTCACTAGAGAGGAGCCTGGAAAGAATCGCACAGCAATAAATTACTTCCAATCGAGACCGATGGAAGTGGCGCCACAAACGCTGTCGTCAACATGAATGACTGTCATGTCAGAGGTCTGGGGATTGCCACTTGGCATGAGAAAGCGACATCTTCGTGAGAATGAAGTGCTACATCACCGAATCTGATTGGTTGTTAGTAATTACTTCGGATGGGCTGTGGTTCATTAAAGGGGTTCATGGTGTGGCTTAACTCGGTTGAACCCTATTACCGCAACCGTACTTGGTGGAAGGTGCCCTCTGCTTGAAGGAAGCAATGTGTATGCCTGCAGTGAACGTGTGTAGTGTTTCATTTTACCTTGCCAATAGGATAAGAGGTAAAGTAATGCCTTTCATGTCAATTTGTAGTCCAACCACATTTCTCACGCATTTGATACTAATGGGTGAATCACCTGACATCCCAGCCATTGAAGTACCTCATTTGTATATCTAAAGTGCAAGAGAAAGTGTGATTTTCGCCAATCTGACATTCCGTGTCTTAGTTTTACTTGCATAATAATCTCTGCTATTATTGTTTGTTTGCTAGTGCTGATTCTTTTTATGCACCCAATTCAAAATAATTATCTTTATTTAATCACTTAATAATCAACAGTAATTATTTGCGTAATGTCATTGATAAGATTCGAATTTGGTCGAAATATAGCTCCTTTTTACATACAATGACATTGCAAGTAAGTACTTTAGGATCTGGAACTATTTTTTTAAGCAGAGTTCAAGTTAAACTTCTACTGCGTTTAGGTCAGTCGAAGAGTTATTTGCATGGTACCCGATATTGTCGCGGTATTTTAAATGGGCGATTCGTGAGCAAAGTCGGTTACAGACAGGGTGAGTGAAAAGTGACCTAATAAGCCAAATAGTGCGTATCTCAGTGCATTGAAGACTGATGAATTCGACTTTATTTACTTACTTGTCATGAAGATCTACCAGAATATCCTTGGTGGTTGGTCTTTTTCTCAATACATTGCTGATTACACATTATAGCAATACATTCGATTTTGTAGGTCATTTATGCTTGTTGACAAATCCACATCTCTCACTAATGTATCAAGAAACTCCATCCAATGACCAGGCATTCCTTGTCGCTACTCTGGGTGATGCACTTCGCGAGGGTTTGACCCAACTTGTCATTAAAAGTCCACCCGACCCAATAGACTTTCTGGCGAACTTCCTCAAATCCTACTCAATGAAGCGTTGCTCTCCCCTTTCGATCAAACAGTTCGCAACAGCCCCATATCCAATCTTCAATGAGCACGATCTGGCGACACCACTCCAACCATCCCACCTAGAAAACACTACACGCATACGACCCACCCCCGCCTCGAAATCAACACTTGAAGCAACTGCACACATCAACGTCCACCATCCCACACATTTGTAGCACAGCAATGCTTCATAACATCGCAAGACACCTCCGATCAGGCGAGCTTGTTTCCAAGTTGAGGCACACGGGGAAGACGCACGACCAGACACGCCCTCCGCTTCGAAATGAATTACAAATTTGCTGACTTTATATTCCTGTACAATTAAAGTAACTTGCAATCAAGGGCGCATAGTTGCAAACTCGCACTTTGTTGTAACGAGACGCCCTACCTCGGGATCTCGCATCGTCAGAGCACGGGTTAACCCTAGATGGGGTGAGGGAATTAGCATTTGAAATAGATTCTGATTAAAGAACAAGGAGAAGAAAAGTGCAACTTGCTCATTTGTGCAAAATGAATTCTCGGTACGAGGAACTACAATACATCTACACAGAGGGAGAGTTTGGAGGATTTCGGGAGCGCCAGCACCAGTAATAGTCCAGTCGAAGTTGATTATCGACGTCAGCTGTAGCGTGGGAGGAGTGTGAAGAAGTTGAAAAATTAGGGAAATGGGAGCAAGGGACCTAGGAAGACTTAGAGACCGGCATAGTTCACGCGTGCCACGTTGCGTTGTGAGCGACGACAGCCGGAAGAGCTACAAATACAAAGGCAACCGAAAGCAAACATTTATTCATTGCTGAGCATAATCACCCCACCCACCAATACAATGCCGAGGACCTACCCGAGGCAACCAGGAATGACGCTCGAGGTTTCCGTCAGCTGATGACGAACAGAAAAAGAAAATAAGCGTAAAACACTCAACAACCTAAAATGATTAACGCGGCTTTCAGGCGACACAGCCACCAGGGCTTGGTAGGAAGTCATTGCGAGAGCGAATTTGAATACTACCATTAAATTCGAGCTAGTAGCATCGCAAACAATGCATCGAATCGATCGAAATACACAAAAAGAAATTTGATTTATTCACTGGCGAAAGATGACTCTTACCCTTGGAGGAGGAATGACTGACTCAGGACATCTGCCTCGCCTCTTCCCTCTGGTCGTAGTAGTGATGGCAGTGCTAGAGGCAGAAGGAGGGGACGTGTCGTCTTCTCTGTTGCCCTGATGACGACGGCAGCGGTGACGTGGAGCAGAGCTGTTGAGGGACAAAGTGGCCCTTTGGAGATCGTGCCTGGAACTAAGCGGTGGGGAAGGTTGGGTAGATTTTTGCAAACGCTTGCTGCGCCGCAGACGTCTGAAAACCGAAGTGTGTGGAGTCCCAGAAGGAACAGTTGCATTTGGTACCTCCCCACGTCCGACTGTAATCGAGGTGGTCTCAAGCTGACTCTTTCTCCCATCACGACTTCTTGGAGTGCCTATTATCTCGTCAATCTACGCGAAAAAAGGGTTAATCGAATACACAATCATAAATAATTCCAGACCTTGAGTAATGGTAAAGATGCAGTTTTTGACGGAGAACAGGAGGACTTTTCTATCAGTGAAGGAGTGCTAGCGTTTGATTTCTTGCCACGAATACGACCTCTACGAGCAGTCTCCTTAGCAGCGACCATCTCCGGAGTATTGAAATCCACGGGAACCGGAGACTCATTATCACGGTTTACCACCTGAATCAAATTTGGGGAGGCATTGTTGCTTGCATTTCTCTCGCTTTTGCTGGACTTGACATCCAAGCTCGACGGACGCTGTAAAGAGCCCTGACTTCTATAAGAACATTAAAAACTCGGCCTCATGAAATTCAAATTAATCATAGTACCTCGTGATTCAAATAACGCTTACCGAGATCTAGGAGAGTCCGTAAGCTTGATAAAATATCTTGGGCGATTTTGATCTGTCTGGAACATAGATGTTTGCGAACTACTTGGGAGCACAGCGTCATCAGAATATACCGTGCTCAAAAGCGACGACTTTGCCGGGGCGGACGGTGGAGTTCGAGGAATTCTATCTCTGCTGACGAAGGGATCAAGAACCAGATCTTCGGGTCCCATTTTAAGCTACTGGAATGCGCTCCACCAGCAGGGCAGCGATAAGGATAACGAGGACACTTTTACAAATGGCAACAAATATAATATGTTTTAACAACAAAATATCGGATGTCAACTCATAAAATTCATCTTGTTTAATTCCGGCTGCTGTGTTCCATAAAACTGAAAGATATGCCAAATAATGATTTGACTAGGAGCTAGTAGCGTATTGATTGAGAAAATTCCTGTATTAAAATAGAATTCCTGCAGTCAAAGGCCTTTTAATGGCATTGGCTCCGACTTATAAAGACTAAAGCGTTAATTGCTCGCACGACTGGTGTTCGTACTGATGGGCGCGAAAGACAGCTGTTAAATCTAGTTACATTTAAAGGTCTCATCATATTTTCCCATATTTATGCAATTTGTTTATTTTTTATTAATAAAAACACTTGCAAAATATATTTTGCATCGGTGGGCTAAAATATATTTATTTTATTTTCTAATCCACCTCGATAGATCAGCACAAATACAGTTTATCAAGCTTTTTTAAACCTCATAGTGTAAGTTTTTTTCTTCTAAAACCTCCTTGTGCGCTTATCGGCTCCTAAAGTCTAACCTATTATCTTAGTGTCATGGTATACAGTCCCAACTGCTTCCCTTGACGCCCAATTATTGCATCTGTTCAGTCCTTACATATTTGCGTCCACAGTTATGATCTCACGAAGATCATAAAAAGACCAAAGGCTACCAAACTCAATACTCAGTGCCTGAATACTTGCCTTAAACGCTCCATAAGAGGGCAGACGTAGCTAATGATTGAATCTGTCTTTAGCACTCCGAAGAGGAAGTGACTAGTGGCTTGTTTCAAAGGTCATACTATGTAGCGGAAGCACAATGGCGAGGTCTTAAGCCTCTGGTGAAAAAGAGTAAGGCAAGCAATTTAAGCAGATGTTTCACTAACGAACCTAGATATTGCAACTTGGAAGATTGTGAATTTGGTCCCAATTGTGGTGCTAGCGCAGCTGTAATGTTTTCGTCAAAGTATTTAGTAGCTTAAACAACTACAGTAAGTAATAGCTTGTAAAAGAGAGTACAACATAATATCTAACACAACCGTCGGGTTGGTTTTTGATGGAAGTGTTGTGATAGGTAACAGAGGGGATGAAAAGTAAGAAAGCACTCAAAAAAGTAGTTTGAAAAGTTGACATTTCTTTAAGTTGCATGTTTAGAGGCGAAATTTCTTTAGCCTTAGAGCTTTGGTGGCATATTTGGGCTGATGTCATTGCCGCTTACAGGTAGATATCCGCCACGGATATCTACTGAAATAATCGGTACAAATTCTTAAGCTACTGCAGCGTCCTGAGACTTTCCAGAAGACAAAAAATGACACCATTCTCGATCAGAATATATATTTAGCGCAGAGAAGGTGTCTGGGCTATTGGCATAGCCCGAAAGGCCAGGCAACCCAGCGAGGTGCAAGAGGGCTAATTCAGAGCACAAAAGTAGTGCCTTGCCAATACCGGGGGATAGATCACTATTGTAGTACACTCTATAATTAATATTCAATCGACTAGATTGGTATGTAGAAGCTTACTAGTAGGTGAAAGTTACCTTTTTAATTCAATTAGCCTAACATGCGAAGTGTTTTGTAAAAGGTTAAAACTTGAAAATAAGATATATTATTGAAACATACTTGTTTACGTTATTTATTTCAAAGTGTTAACGCTGGTCGGCCCGACATCGCAATATACGCGTTACTCCTTGATCTATGTAGCTGCGTCTTTTTTTGGATTTTTGGCATGCTTCTTTGCCTATTTCGAAGCTATTTGGACTTTAAGAAAAATTATTAATTTAAACCCTCTTTTACCTTCCCTTGTTTGCGTCAATCAAAGTGGGTGTCGCAACTAATGGTGTTAATATGAAGCGGCTAGCTAACTGTTTTTCTTGTAATGCGTGATTCTGACGATATTTACCATTTGATTACTCAGAACAGATTTGCTAAGGCTTTGAAACGCATTTCGAAATATGCTGGAAAAGGTAATTTAACTTAAACTTTTACCTGAACATTAGTCTGAATGTTTGGAGCTTTCCCATCTTATCAAAAACCTAAAGCATGAAGTTCTCTTTGTATGCATAGCCGTTGCTCATTTTGTAATTCTAAAGCGGTTTTAGAGTATTCATTGGTTTAAAGTGTCCTGTTATTTTTTCACTTGTTGCGATATCTAAAACCTTATTTTCGTTACATCGTAAGAATGCCTGAACAAATGCGTATAGACGTAATTAGACAATAATGAATATGAAAAGGCATAAAAAAATTAAAGAAACGTATACGGCAAAGAATCAATTTCTTTTTTGTCATTTTGCTTTTTGTAGATTCACTCTCGGAGGTATCATCTCTTTGTTCTTATTCTCAGTGGTACGTCCTAATTATTAAGCATCGTACTGGCTTTAAAGAAACTTATTTGCTTAGTTGGCGGATGAGTCCTTCTGAATTTTAGGGTTGGCCGACTGGTTTGCGTATGATCAATTAAATGCTCTAAGTCAGGGCTCTATGACATACGACTTCTAGCGTTCCCAATTCAAATTGAAAAGATAAAAATTTTGTTTTTTGTATTTTACAATTAGTTCTTTAATTCTCTACTAGGACTCAAAAACTAAACATTTCTTTAGCATTATGAATGGACTCATTCAACTTTATGTTGCATTAATTAATCTGTAATTAAACTACGGATGAAAACCTTGTCTGCTAACCACCAGTTGTCATCAAATATTTCAGGCTACTAGTCAGTCTGATAATAAATAGGACAGTTATTTTATTTCCGTCTACTTGTTTCATCACGTGTGCAAACCCATGTGTTTGTAGTTACTGAACGGCGTTTACTTTGCCCTTTCGGAAGTGTTTTAAGTGTCACCACCAGATTCATGACTAATGATTAGGTAACTATTCTTCATTTTTTGTAATTTTAAGGTGACATAGTAAATGGGGCATTTAACACTGGGCAATACTGTAAATGTAATGTAGATATCTGATAAATGGATTAATTAACTGCAACCATTGCCCGAAAATTGTGGGTGTGAAAACCCTTGAATTTGGCTCAAAAAGTAACTCATTCGCATTACTTGGTCACGTAAGAGGTGAAGTGATCGCTAAAACGACATTCGCAAAACTTATTTTAAGGGACATGTCTCTGAAAATACATTTGCATTATTAATGACGACTCTGAGTCGGCGGGATAGCTTTAATACATCAAATTTACACATTTAAGCGGGGTCAAATTAATAAGCTGCAACAAAAACCATATCAGTGACACGAATCCGTCGCGCAATCTCGACAAATTCATATGGCAATAAATTACGGAGTTGAATGCTTCTTGAAGAATGGTAGAGCTACTGAAAAGCCTAATGTTTGACTTTCGCCCAAAAAAGATGTAACATTTTCAAAAAGTTAACGTTTATGATTTCTACAAGGGTCATCAGCACTATTTTTGCTGACAATGGTTTGACGCTTTGGAAATTGACCACTTGGGGGTCAAAATGGGCTTTATTGAAGTGGCATACTAAAAGGGCACATTTACAAGTCAGGAGCTTTACAATTGCTTTATCAGCTGACATTACCTCCAGAAAAGTTCTTTTCGAGTATCTCACGATTATGCCTGACTTGTAGAACAAATAAGTGTGGATTTCTTTTAATGTCACCAACAAAACTACGCAGAAGAATATGAATTGTACATTTTGGAAAGAAGAGGTTGCAATCGTTAATTTTAGACTTGTTTAATAACCTTGTAGTTTCAAATCCATTGGACACAATCTTTTCTGCAAAAAAATAGATTATTTAAGGCTGGCCAGTTATTTGAGTGAATATACTTCTGCATTAGCAATAACAATAACTGACATACATGATATGAGGCAGAACTCGGCCTACAGGACGCAGTAGCCTGTTCAGACTACTCCTTCAAATATTTTCGGCATTTGTGCAAGTTATTTGATAAAAATCTTAAGCGCCGCTTTCAATAAAAACTGCTCGAGGTCACTACACTGTTTCTAAGGCATTCTATAGTTCATTAATTTTAGTAAAAAATGACCAGTTTATAAAACTTTGATTGAAGAACAGCTATCAATGAATGCATCAAACAGATTTCATTGGTAATGGATGCGTCGTCTTTGGAAGATTATGCCGCAGTTACCCCATCACTTCCAGAGCAAATCATAAAGCAAGTGTGAGGAAGTAGATTCATTGTAAACGTGCAGAAGGGCTAGAAGTTGAGCAGCATCGGCTGCATGAGTAAAAAAATGTGCTGTCACCCTTCAGGTCGAGGCGCAGGAGTCAAAAGTCCATCGGAGGAGCAAACATCGGTATGTCACATAGCTGCGCCTTGTTTCGAGAGTCGTTTCAAGGAGTCCCTGTGATTATCCTTCCACATCATTCGTTTCACCAGCATCCGTAAAAAATGAAATCACCTAAGGAGTAGGCACAAGAGCATAAGATAATTTCCGATTTCAGCCGGACGAATTCCAAATTTTGAGGGGTCTACACATCACATGGTACTTGTGAAATGAGCTATGCAGATTAAGCAGAAAGCCAAACCTTTAGGCGGGTGATGTTATAAAATGAAGATAAGCTATGAAACCAACGTCCAGAGCAAAAGTTATGGAGCCGCCTTCATAAGGATCCTTAAATACACCTCAACAGTATTTTGATGCCACCCAATCGTCTGTCTGAGCCGCGCCTAACTGACAAGAAGCTAAAACATGGCGTTTTACGAGCCAAGATTATTTGATATTTTTGGACAAAGAGAAGTTTAGCCGTAAAATAGTTGCTATTCTTCTTTGAATCTTCTGTTTTGAACTTTTGCAAATCCATGTGCCCATTTTCTGACCATTGTGGCACTAGTAATCCATGATGTGTTGGTTCGAGGAACTCCTAATGTCCAAATGAAGTATGCAAGTCTGGAAGCTCGTGTGCCATGAGCTTCTATGACGGCTATGGGTATTGGCGTAGGCAAATCTGAAGAGAGTTCCACAGCATCAGTGTAGAGAGGCTGAAACCATTTCTTGCGATACTTAAGTGGTGACAGCGATAGAACGACTGCCACTTGTTAATGGATTTACAGAGGAAGGCTAATCATGACACCCCTAAAGGTTCGAAACCATAAAATTGTGGAAAAGATCACATTCGTTTTATTTTTTAAATGCACCAATCAACTTGCGATAGACAATTTTGTGCTAATAGTTAACACAAACTGTTTACATGCTCGTGAGGGCTACGGTCAGATAAGGTAATCGGGCCTCACCTGTATGCAGCGCTGCCAGCCAACACAGCAGACTAGTAACAGCGCCAGCGTACCTTTATTCCCATTAAAACATACGTCACGAGGCGATTCAGGAAAGAAAAATGAAAGGGATGAGGTTTAACATGACTCCTCTGCGAGCAGCTTATTGTTTGCCTCCACGACGACACATCTCCCAAAGCACGTCGTCTTCCTTCACCAAGTTTGGCAGTTGAGTTTGTGTAGCGGCCTTCAAATTACGATTCTTAGGGCTTCTCGACCGGTTGTGGTAAGGAGACCGACCCTTATGAATGAATCAATTCATTATATCACTAAAATTCTTTAAAAGTAGTCCCACTTTGATCCGCATCTTTTATATTATAAGGTTTTGCAGCGTTCTACGAGCTTTCAAAGTAACCCTTCCTTTATTCGATTTAGCAGTCCCTTTCAGTGCTCTGTAACATGTACAACGAAAGTGTATGTGCATTCTCGTTAAGTTTAGAAACTGGATCCGGACTGATTCATAAAAAAATTCCCTTTTAACTTTAAGCTTCACGGTCCACCGTGAACATCCTTTTAAAGTGGCACGGGAAGGATGAACGTGTATTTGCAAGATCTTTGCTGAGAACAAAAATGGCCAACTTGTAGTAGGCACTGTGTTCAAAAAAAACTGCCAGCGCGGAGCATTTGTCTTGCAGAGTGGACACATTAAGAGAGATTCCCGTGAGTGTGTGTGTGTCCGTATGTTTCATTGCAATAGCTAAACAAGAACAGAGATTAGCCTAATGTGGTTTATCATCCAGCCGATTAAAATGGTGGGTTTTAAACATAAACTCGAATATTCAATTAAATGACGCCGGCTTCAGATCCTCCCACGCGGAAACACTATTTATTCCACGTGTTCCATCATCTGTTCCACGGTACATCCGTAATTTGGGTCAAACCTGTGTTTTGCTCTACCTAACCGCAGAGGAAGCATTTAAAGGATGAGCGTTTGATGCTAGATAGGTCTAAAGCCACAAGAAACTCGCTCTTACTTCTTTCAGTGACTAATTAGTCCAAACTCAGATTCTCCAGTTATGTGTATATAAATTCAAAATCTACTTTTCCACTTTCAGGTCTGAGATCATTCACTATTGCATCGCCAGCTCATCTCAAAGCACAGGAACTGCCACGATCCGTCAATCTGCACACAGCTGCCTGAAAAGTCTGCTACAAGTACAATTCTCAGCACAATCCACAGTGAGGGACCTCCAAGCCTTCATCCACCATGCCGCGTCGATAGGTAATTTGGAAGCGGTGCGAGTACTACTGACTCCTGCGAGGGGGCAGTGGTCACCTGCCATTCTGGATGACCTCAAGGCCACCGCGCTGCATGCTGCGGCTAGGCACGGATTGATGGAGATGGTTCGTAAACAATAGCAGAATTTGTATTCTTACTGATCAACATTTGACAAGCAGAATCTTTGGTACCACTGGTTAGACCAACAAAGAGTAACCATTTATGAAAGGTGAATGAAGAGGGCCTGAGCTGCTTCCAAATGAACAAATTGTGGATTTGCTATTTATTCGGGAATGGCACATTTGTCACTCAAGTGTGGAATCCTTGGGCGCCTTAAAAGTAACGCCACATGTGGATCAAATTTCTCAACCAGATGTCGGCCGGTGTCCTTTTAAATCTCACTACACCGACAGTGATGCAACTCGAATTCCGCTTTGGCCGAGTTATTACTTGCAATCTCCAAATTTTTTGGCCTTTTTTATCGGTTTTTAGGCATACCCATTTTGTAAAAGGAGGGCAGCTTAACTAACGCCACGGTTTATCTTTTAAGGCGTTCAATCCCACCCCAGTTAAAAATAAACCGCTAATCACTGTGTACTGACTAACTTTATCTTACGCGATCAAAATACTTGCAAAAGGAAGGTAGGCATGTGCATTTGTGAATTTTTCACATAGATATCCGACATTAGCTGCCTTAATACCCTCGATGAGGCGTTTAAATTAACTGTGGATGCTTCTCAACTGTTATTTATCATGTCAATTTTAACTACCTTAACAGGATCACCTCCAAAGTCTTAAAGGGAAAATTGGCCGCTGCCACCAAAAACCCTCCACTCTTCTAAGGGGATAGCAACAGCCAACAGTTTGTGATAATCCAGTTGCTACTTGAAACGTAAGGAAGTGGTGCATTTGTTCTCAAACCGAGGACATTCCACAGTTCCCCTTTGATGCAAACAGATGTCACAAACTGATAAGGAAAGTGTGCTACATAATTGTGACGGGGGGCCCCGAGAGGGTCAATAAAACGTAACCTCTAAGTAAAAATGTGTCAATAACTGCAGACATTGGCAAGTTTGCTCTTAGTTCCGAGGTCATTTTCATCTGTTACTCTCCCTTAACAATGCTTCATAAGTCGCAGTCGCAGGCGGTTAAGCTAGTGGAAATTGCCCTCGTCTGAAGGGTGCAGATTGTTCGTGAAGGAGCAAAGTGTCCCAGACACTACAAGGTCGCATTCAGGACACCTGTCGACCAAACAAATGATGCTGGATGTCGAGCACTGGACTGGTTTGCTAAGACATGGATAATAGACCTACTTTTTGCAGCTGGAGACTCCCAAGGAAGCTGCAATCTCAGTTACACCACATTTGCAGTGTCAGTCAGTGCACTGGCACACATCCATGTTAACTTTGAAACCTCCACCTTGAGACCATAAATGTCAGACGCAGTCAGGACCAGGAAGATAGTATGAATCGCCATGTGTCCAAAGGCTGCTTCGTGAGACGCGGCTGTGCTCGTGTTTGGATTTACCTGAGCGTAAATACCTTTTGCGTCAGGTATTGTGAGAAACAGTGCGCTAGTTTTCCGTTTGTGCGTGAAAAGAGAAGGACGTTTTTAAACCCATCTATCTGGTTGATCCATTCCCAGCACCTATACCTTAGAACAAGGCTTTCTCCATCTTGCGAAAATGCACTACTTATTTCATTTAAGCCTTCAGTCCACCATTAGTGACATTTTTTTCTTAAAAAAGACGAGATTTGCTAGGAGGGAGGGATTTTTAACAAGAATTCCTCCATCGGAGAAACAAATGGTCGGTAAATTTCTTTCTTATGGAAAAGTAAATGATAATTTTTCTCCAATAATTCGTTCTGGACGCCAACTTCCCTAAGGGAAGTTGAATGTGGGAAGGACTTAAAGTTGTGAGCACCAACTAATTCCCAAAAAATAACATTCTCAGGCATAACCTGCAAAATTGGTGAATGGGGCCAAAAAAACCTGTAAGTTGCTTCTTTGGTCCATTTGAGGTGGATGACGTTAGCAAAGGCCTATAAAGCATACAGAATAAAATCGGATAATTTTTATAGCATGGCCGAGCCCTCCTCTATGCAAGGCATTGGAAACACACCATTTTATAATTTTATTTAGAAGGCTTGAGAATCAAAGTGATTCGAAGTGTTTGGCAAAAGCCGGTTGTAGGACTCCGTTCTCTACCGTTTTTTTAAGAATCTTTGACAAAGCATACCAGGGCAGAATGGAATGGAACGTTTTAAGGGAGACGGGACTGGAATTTAGTAACATAGTGCCATCGAAGGGCAAATAGTTTGTGCTGTCGGTAAGACAAATATTTTGTCCATCCATTCAGAACGGGTGAATCCAAAGTACACCTAGCACAATGTCTTAAAAGGCCTCACAGGTTTATCTTTTACTGCTAATAAAAAGAAATTTTGCAACTGATTTCCTTTGGAAGTGCAAAAGTTTAAGAATGCTTGATTGACAAGTGTAAGTATCTATTTATGTTTGTCAGGACAGTCTCATAACAAATTGTGTGATTTTTAAAACATTGCAGTCTTAATGTCACCTTGCTTTCCTCATTTTAAAAAATGTTGAAAAAATTATCGCGTATGAGCTGTGGGAGGTGACAAGTACATTGACTTTACCAAACATTGAAACATACTTGCCCCAAATTATGGAAAAAGGTATTCAACTCAATTTAAATCAAATCCTTTAGGAATTTGTATTTTTACTCGTTTTGTAAGCCAGCCAGAAATCTTGGACAAAGGCGGTTGGAGTGTTCAAGTAAGAGCGAGACTTCTAAAGTTACATATACTAAGAGAAAAGGCCAAATTTTGGGAAGCAGGAAAGCCATTTTACTTTTCGACAGTCTTCCACCACTTCCACACGCCAACCTCAACAGTTAACTTCCACCCACCAACCACCAC